CAATATTTTCGTTTCTGTGTGACCGCCAAAGAAGATGAAAACGTCAAAATATATAGTTCATTAAAATCAAGTTGAAACCCATAGCAGGCTTCCAACTATGAGAGGAAGGAATTCTTGTTTCGAATTAAAAGTTTTACTTAGACAATAAAGCTGTTCTAAAAGCCGCAATCATACGGATACGGGTTTCTGAATCGACCCATCTCGAAAGTCTTGCGCCGATTATTCGATGGCCGGAGACCCTGCACAATAAATATTGCAACAACCACATCGAAGGACGTGCAAGTCCTCGAATTCCAAAAGATTGCAAACGTCGAAGCACGGCAAACACTACGAGCCGACGAGATAATTAAACAGCGTCACTGCGCGCATCACCTTTCTCTGTGGGTGTGTTTCTTCCAGTGTGCCGTGACGTTGAGGTTTTAGTCCGCCATTCTGGAGGGATTTCACAGCCGTCAACAGAGGGCAGTATTTTGAAAGGGGTCTATATTGGTTAGTAGCTCGATCTTGTGACGCAATCTCTTTAACTAACTGCTTGACCATAAAGTTTTGATACTGATCCTGCCCTGATCAAGACCGTAATGTGACGTTTTGCCGCGGGAGACAGACGTACGTCCTATACTACACGCTGCCCAGCTTATTTCCCTTGCCTTCCTTTTAAAACTATGGAGTTAATTGAAACTTTAATTGATGACTACCAGTAAAGGTAATTTTTGTATAAATAAGAAAGTTTGTTAGTTTTTGATTTTGGTTTATTTTTATGCACTGATACGATAATGGATGCTGGGATTCCAAAAATCTTAGGAAGGACCCATCAATTGAATTTAAATCTACAATTTCAAAACAATTATATCCTACTATACGCAAAGAGTCGCCTAACGCTGAGTGGCTCAAAGTTTATTTAGTAACCTTCCGGTATCCTCGAAGATGTTAAGGAAACAAGAGCGCTGTCTCATTGACGAAAGGTCCCGGTTGAGGCTTGGTCATCCCATATCAGGAGCCTCGCCTTGAGCAAGCAACCTTACTTGACAGGCGGATGAATAATTGAGAAAATATAACATTTAGAAGAAACAAAGCTCTGCAAAACTAACATTTGGGTAGAATGGATTGAGCTCATTTTACCTTCTAACGCACATTTCCTTAGAATTGCACGGGTGCACTTCAGAAGAGAAGGTGACATGGCATCGTGTAATGCATTGACCACCTGTCTACGCTCGCCGACCAGAAAATTCCGAAAGTTCCTCAGCTATGAATTAGTAGTTACTGTCGTCGTGCCCTGATCAAAATACAAAAAAAAAGTTAACTAAAAAAAAATGTATCAAGTTTCGCGACGAACTTAGCGCACGCGATGTGTGCGCCCAGTGCGTATATCAACAGGTTGATGTCACCACGTGTATGGGGAGAGAATTCACAAGGTAACCGGGAATTAAATTACTGGAGTTCCGAACAAACACCAGAGTCATAGATACAGCTAGCGGTTCAATTAAAACAGAATCAAGTAGTTTTACGTTGGAGGATACCAAGAGCCAAGCACACAATTTTAGGTCCCTGGTGTCGAATGGGCTCGAAGATAGCGAACTGGGGCGTGGACATGGCGTTGGCATTACTCGTCAGTGACGTAGTTAAGGAGCTGTCAAGCAGGCCATGTCCGTTAGCCCTGTTCTTCTCCTACCTATGGCCCTGCAAGGAAGCTCAGGACTGTTATGGTTATGATAGAAGACGGTCCCGCAAAAGAACCCAAATGGGCCGGCGCTACCACGGCGAACGCCATTCGTCGGTAGCACCTGTCATTACATGTGCATCGTCTGCGAAGTGGCGGCGTAGATTGCCCAGAAAAGGATTCTGCTCATTGTTGTGGTTGTTGTTGTTGTTGTTTTGTTGTTGTTGCTTACTGTAAACTTTCAAGCTTGCACCTCTGTAGTAAATTGCAGCGCGATAGAAACTGATTTTGGCGGGACGTCTTAAGTTCCTTGAAAGCGTTAGCTCACACGCGTAGATCCTAAAATCCTAGGTAACAGGACACTCACCGCACGTGAGTGGTTTTGTCGACGATAGCATACGCACAGAAAAACGGCCAACGCCCTATGGTTACAATTGTGGTGCCGCGTAATTGATATCATCGGCATCTAGTGCGGGCTTCTGTCTAAGCGGAGATAAAACAAAGTTTAAAAAGGACCTTTTTTTTGAGAGGGCTGAAAAAAGGCGCTGTTGGCAGTTTACGAATCCGCGAACCTCCGGTCAACATTACAACACTTCATATTGTTAGCGAAAGGCCCGGCTAGCGAGAGATGTGTACGTACATTTTTTTTTAATAACCCTATCAAACGACCGATTCCCTCATTTCTTTTTTATGAGCCAAGATACATACAGGGAGGAGGAGACTTGAGCGCGCGGGGACGTCAGCTAGCCAAGCTCTGGTTCGAACCATTAGTGGGTAGACTTAGACCTAGATGTCTTTGTCTCTAAAGCATTAGTCGAACGCATTTGAATTCAAGAGTCAAACGCCAGACGCCGGCGTTACGCGTTCTAAGGCGTTCGACGAGTGCTGTGGAAACAAAGGCAGAACTAGCTTTAGGTCTACCCACTAATCCTTCCAACCAGAACTCTGCGTTCTGACGTCTCCTCCGCGCTCTAGTCTCTTCCTCTCCCCTCAGTTTCTCGGGGCGCACCACAGCAGAAGGACCTCTCTAGATCCTCAACTTCATGAGTTGTGGAATACTTTATCGTCCCTGAAATATTTACATTAACAGGCTCGGAAAGCATGCCGAAACAAAGCGGCCGGAAGTCTCTTGGGGGGCAAGAGACGGCTTGTGTTTGTACATAGCAAAAGGGTCGATAAACAGTTTTCTACGCGGGCATCGCTACCTTGAACGCTGAACTTTCAATGTGCGCGAGAAAACAGTTATTCTCACGTCAATCCAATGGAAAGTATTATCGTTTTATGTACGACTCTTGTTTTTTGTTGTTTTTTTGTCCCTTCAAATATTAATTGTGCTAAGTCGTTAAATATACGCCTCGCAAGTGGGCTCATTTTCGTCTTCTGCGCATGAGAAAGGAAGTAGCGGTGCGTCATAACGCCGAGCCCTGTTTGGCTGATCGCGACCCCCTATCTGAGCGTCGTCTGCTCCTTTGCAACGTCGTCTGCGTTTGTCTTACCTTTCCTGTGACTTTCTGAACTCGACTTCGCCTTTCAGAGAGGGCAGACGAAATAACTCGAGCGGTACGTTGTTTTTGTCTAAACTAGCAGACGCGCACCAAGGAGGGAAGTCAAAGGACTCACTGGCCAGGTGTGCCGAGGCGCCGAGGTTTGTTTGCTAAGAACCGAGAGTGAGCGTGTTAGTGTCCGCAAATTCCCTCCCAAATACTTTTCCCCTCCTTTCGTGTGCGGCGAAACCCCTCACTTTTTAACGGCGTCGGCGGGCTGGCGCAGTTAACGTCGTCTGCTTTACGTCTGCTAGTCAAAGCGAAGGCTAGCGCTTTACCTTTCCTGCGTCTGTCGGAGATTCACCGCTTTTTCACCGGTGAGAGTCACCGTTACCTCGGGAAACAAGGAGATAACAAGACGAAGAAATTGACCTCTTAATCTAAATTTGAGGTCAGCGATCAAAGTATAATGCGGGAAGGGTTCACAAGGGTCGCGCGGGCATATTCCATTCAGCACGCCAGCCGGTCGTGGGCAGACGGTCGCCGAGCCGCGGAGTGCCTACTAGGCCTAACTGCCCATCTCGCTTGGTCGCTTTCGGTGGAATCGTGGCTGTTGGAGCTTTTCCCGGGTGTTTGTAGATCCAGCGTTCTTGTTCGTCGTAGTCTGTTTCAAGTACTTTTTACTTTTTTCTTGCTGCTTGAAGTCGGGACGCGTGAGAAGCGCACGTAGAAAAATAAACGTCCGTGGGTCGTCGCGACCGCGACGCTGTCGGCCATGCTGATCTGATCGTAAGAAGTGCGTAAAACAGCTTCGGAGCTTTTGTAGGATTGCGTCGTAACCTGCGCAAAACTTACGAAAATTGTGTTTCGTGAATACGAATTTCTTCTTAAGTTTTGTCTTACGCACATTTTTGGAGTAAGATCGTTTCGTGAATCTGGCCTCTGCACTTCCGAAATTCGCAGGAAAGGTAAGACAGACGCAGACGACATTGCGAGCAGACGACGTTGCAAAGGAGCAGACGACGCTCAGATAGGGGGTCGCGATCAGCCAATCAGGGCTCGGCGTTCTGACGTCACCGCTACCCTCTGCGCAAGAAGCAGACGAACTTGCCCTCCGCATTGTTTTTAGAGCGCAGCTTTTAGGCGCCCGTTTCCGGCTTGAGCGCCGTCACCGTCGGCGTCACCGTTGGCGTCACCTTCGGCGTAACCGCGCGGTGCATTATGGGTAAATTTCCCCGCTAAATCTAGCAGAAAAATTTCCCCGTTAAATCTAGCGGAAAAATTTCCCCGCTAAATCTAGCGGAAAATTTTTCCCGCTAGATCTAGCGGAAAAATTTTCCCGCTAAATCTAGCTGAAAAATTTCCTCGCTAAATCTAGCGGAAAAATTTCCCCGCAAAATCTGGCGGAAAAATTTCCCCGCTAAATCTGGTGGAAAAATTTCCCCGCTAAATCTAGCAGAAAATTTTGCCCGCTAAATTTAGCGGAAAAATCTCCCCGCTAAATCTAAAACGACATCGCTGGTGCCGTCTGTAAACAAAAAATTATATTTATATACTGGCAACTCGAGAAAAGCAGGTTGGGCGTTATTACGTTCACGCTTTTTGCTTCACTATTTGTTGCTCTGCGTTATTATCGACAAGTACATAATCTCATTCACTGCCGAGTAATGATAAGATTTACTCGACTCGCCACTCCTTGGTTTCATAAAAAAAAAGAAAACGAGGCTAAAGCTTAAATAATATTTTTTCCAACTCAATATTGCATTGGTAAGGGACCGTCAAGAACAAATAAAAGAGGGGCACATTGCGCACAAATAAAAGAGGCACATTGCGCCCCACTGTTCTCAGAGGAGACGTACAGAAAAGCCAGCTCACGGATCAGTGCGTGGACTCCCACAAAGGAGACTCCGTCATCGTAGAACATTCCATGCTTGCGTTTCCAGAGACGCCTCCGCTCTTCGTCATAGCTAAAATGAAATCAGACGGTCATCATTCATGCGAGAAGGCTGTTCGGCAGTCTTATCCTCTAGTCAAAAACCGATGACTCTGATTTTAATCGCACGAAGGCTATCTGAATTGTTAAAGAACTAATTACATGCAGGGCACATCGTGTAAACTATACGTTTTAGTGTATATGTCAACTAAGCGTCTTTCTTCATACTTCTGATTCCCAGAAATGTTGAGTGAGTCCAACGATTTCTTCTTGCTAAAGTCAAATGACGATGTGAAAAACATGTTAAAGCATGAAATGCTTTTTCTAACGCTCTTTAACGTACACTTCAAAAATGTTTAAGGGGTTCGAGATGTTCGTTAAATTTTGCTAAGGGGCCTGACGTACCGTTTAAGAATTCCTAAAGGGTGTAAGACATCCGTCATGAATTTTCGAGAGGCATGCGGCGTCTGTTCCAAGCCTTTCAGAGCAAACCGCAGCACCCGTCAAAATCGTTTTAACCGTTCTGTGGGAGAGATCATGCGTCGGGGAAGAAGCTTGGCCATTTTGTATCGGGCGGTCGCAGCGAGTGATACAAATTGAGGAGACGTTCCACCGTCCATATCTTGTCACGGCCTTCATTGACGTTGCTCTGTTTGTGTGTTTTGTGTATGTGTTTCATGAAAAAAACTGTGAGTACGCAGGCGAGCTGGTGGAAGTTGATCATGATGTAGAATACTCGAATGCCCATCGGCTGCTCTAATGCTAGCAGAAATCTACCTTAACAACATGGATGCAACCGTAACGAATAAATTGAATTGTATTCCATCGAGTACGGGTTTCGTAAGAAGATATGTCGATGACACATTGATCTGCTTATTTCGCGAGGAGGATGTGCTCGATATCGAACGGACAGTGAGGGCAGCGGCGCCGAAAATTAAGTTCATCTCAGAAAAGGCGGACAATGTTATTCTACAGTTTCTTGACCTACGCATTCACGTGGAGGGGGGTTTATGTTGGGAGTACAAAAAAAAATGACCGCGAGAACCCGTTTTCAGTAGAAAAATTTTGTCATGCCGAATCAGTAAACGCAGTTATAGTCAGATCTCTAATCAGCAACGTACTGGACAAGTCGTGTGCCCATTTTAAGGGTTGTACGGTGGAAAGGTAGTGTTCAATGTTAGAAGATGCAGGTTATGACAGTGGGTTCATAAAAACACAATTGGCATTGCAGCAAAAGGCTAAACAACGAGCAGAAAAGGAAGTGAAAACGCATCATGCGGTTATTCCGTATTTTCACACAATTTGTCACGACCTTAAAGTATACGCAAAGAAATTTGGGAGAGATGTAGCGTTTAGGTCTGACTTTAAACTAAGCCGTTTGACACCGTTTCAGACGAGTCAGAAAGTGTGTCAGAAAGCGCACCGTGGTAAGTCGGTTGATCGCAAGCAAGGGGTGATCTATGAAATACCACTGAAGTGCGGTCTCAAGTATGTTGGTCAAACGGCAAGGTGTGCAAATGATAGATTGGTAGAGCACAAAAGAAATGCAAAAGTAAACGTACCCAATTCAGAGAGTGCTAGACACATTAGTTAGTGCAACGATTGTATGGTACTTCGGTCGCAAACTGACATTGTGCACAGAGAGCTCTACAGGCTTATAAGAAAGGCAGTTCGTATCAGATTCATTGCTAATTGCATCAGCCATGCTTCAATGCAACTCGGAAGTACAGTTCCAAGTTTCTTAAAATGTAATGGTTATGTCAATTCCTTTTTTTTTTTTTTTTACATTTGTAAGTGAACGTGCAATGAGTCATTTTCCAGGCAAATGTTCAGTTAAAGGGCATATCAGTTCTCGTTTAGACAAAGCTCAGCCTTTTCAGTCTCCGGCTGGATGGAAAGTGAGTTCGGTTTGTTTGTGTTTTTTTTTTTCAAGGTTCCAAGTTTTAGTTTGGGACTGAGGTCAGCGTTTACGCTTGAAGTGAAGACCAGTGTGGGTAGGATTGTATAACAAAGGTTGACTTAGTCACGTCGGTGGTCGGTGAATAGGTCGTGGATATATAAGGCTTTGAAGAAATAAACGCAGTAGCTGAGTTTGAGACGTTTTTTTTACCCGTCTTTTTTCTTCGACCAAGTTTCCCAGCTTTTACCACAGTCTCGGGTATTCTACACCATGATGTGTTTCATGGACTAGATTAGAGACGCCCAAGGACATCCAGTCCTCGTTCACGAGGAAGAGTGGGTGGGTAGAGAAAGTGGGAGGGGGACGTTTTGCTGTTTCTTCGAAGATAACCTGCTCATAGCAAGATGAAAGGGGGATCGGTGCTGAGCAGCCTTAGTGAGAAGCTGGACGCCCCGTTCTTTCTCCATCAACGAGCGCAAACTCTGCAACTACGAGCGAACGCTCAGTGTCGGCTTCCCGCCCCACGCGTGAGACCTAACTTCAAGAGCGGCTCGGTGTGCAGATGAAGGTCTCTCAGTGCCTTGTTCCTTTCACCTCTTCGTCCGTCCGGCTTTAGGAGCATCCTGCGAGTGAATAGCGTGCCCAAGGCGCCAGCGCGACGGCACCAGAAACCAAAAACCGCGACTGTGCTCAGGATTTCACAACGGCGGCGGATGTTGGTTGCGCATTGGTGGTTTTCGCCAAACATACTACTAACAGCGCCTGTACACGCGTGTGGTGCACCTGCTAGGTTTTAGTTGAACTACCGTACATTTCAGGAAGTTACCCAACGCCATTGTGAGTACCTGAAAAGATATATTTTGCGACAGAAAGCTCGGTTAGTCCCTATCTGATCTGGTCACTTTTGTTTAGAGCTGCTTGCCCCCAGGTTTGAGTAAACGTTGATTCTAATCGTTTTTTGAGTTACAACATAACTGTAAAACTGTATGTCTGAAATAAATTTTCAATAACATTTTAAGCTGCATTTTCTGTTTATGGATCACAGTCATTTGGCTGTCTGAGGGGTTGAAGGGCTGAGGGAATATGAAAGACTGAAGGATCTGAAGGGCTGAAGGGGTTTGAAGAGCGAAGGGGTGCGATGGGTGGGGGGGGGGTTTCATCGTCTGAATGGGTTTTAAGCGCTGAGAGGGTCCCATGGCATATTAGGGCTGAAGTGTTATTTTCAATAGGGCCTAATTCCAAAATTTGTCCACCCGTCCGTGCGTGCATTTCCTGTTAAATTTAGCGGGAAAATTGATATCACCAATACTATACACCAATTCACTTTTTTAACTAAATTTAGCGGAAAATTGTGGTCACTTGAACTGTACACCAGTTCAGTCTCCCCGCTAAATTTCGCGGGTAAGTGGCGTCACGGGACCTACACATCTTGGGGGAAATGTGGCACGTGCCCTATCCATCAACTGATTTCCGCACTAAATTTAGCGGGAAAAGTCACATCCTCTGGCGAAAACATCAAATCACTTTCCCCACTAAGTTAAGCGGGAAATTGACGTCACGTGACCTATACGGCCTCCAAGCTCGTCTGCTTTTGGCGCACCTCGTGCGGGTTTTACTCCTTAACGCCCCAACTTGCTTCTGTTTACCCCCGACCTCGATCAATAATGGCGCGTGCTTGGCTGCCTCGACATTACGCGTTCCTTATGCGTTTTCTGTGTTGCCCTTTGATTGGCATGCTCCTTCTTGCGTTCCGATGCGCAAAACATGAATTTTAACGGAATATTGTTTAAGAAGTCGTGTCGCAGAAAATTCGGCGTCAACGTCGGTGGGACCCAAAAATCCCATAATGCAACCGGCAGCCTCGTGTCACATCACAAGTGCCTGTGATATTATGACCCTATCGATCCACTAAATTTGAGGAAAATATTTTCTCGCCTAATTCAGCAAAATATTTTACCGCTAAATTTAGCTGAAAATTTTCTCTCCAAATTTAGCAAGAAACTTTCCGCTAAATTTAGCAAGTAAAATTTCCGCCACTTTTAGCGAAAAATTTTACTGCCAAATTTAGCGGTAAAATTTTCCGCCAAATTGGGCGAGAAATTGTCTGCTAAATTTGGCGGGTCAATAGGGTCATAACGTCGCAGCCACGTGTGACGTAACGTGACACGTGATGCTACCGACTCTAAACCACGCATACACGCTTGCATGGCTTGGGAACGAGCACGGGTTTATATGAAAAGGTTTGGAGTACGGGGCCCGATAACCCTATCGTGTTCCACTCTTGCAGGATTCATCGAACTTCTTCAGCTATACCTCACATATATGACGATGGAACATGAAGGAAAGATCTCGCTTAAAAAATCCGGTGTTTGCATATGGTCGTGCCATGCGCCAGTACTAAGTGAAATCTAATTGTCCTATGTAGACCGGGCAGCCGAATCAAACCTAAAGAGCACAGCCCCCCAGTGTGAAGTCTTCCGCTACGTAGATGACAGTGTGATCGTCCACCCTGAAACTATAAAAGTGGAGGCCATTCTTCCTTCTTTCCACCAAGCAGGAAGTAATCTCAGGTTCAAAAGGGAAGACCTATCTTCGGAAGGCCTGCAATATTTGAACGTGCAACTGACCAAGACGACGCAACGTGTTTGCTCGACTTTCCGACAACGCTCGAAAATGGCGGTTCTTTAGTTTAAACGGGCCTACTCCAAGTCGGTTAAACTGGGGGTAATCAAGGCCCTACTCATCTCGACAAAAACGAAATCATGTTGGCACTCTGCAACCAAAAGCATCAACACCCAAACTCAACGACTTCTGAGCTCAGGATATCCAGTGGAGGGATCGCCTCCTGTTTTCACAAACTGATCACACCAAGATCCACCAGGAACCCCCACCTGCACCGACAAAAGATCACTATAATCCCATAAATTCACAATGCATTCCATTCCATCCGATGACTGTGACAGTCCTCCGTATACTCGCTTCAACACGTAAATCGTCTTCTCCTGCAGATTCAAACTGGCGAGCCTGTGCAGTATGATTAATCGGAAAGAGAAGCCGCCCTAAGAAAGAAAACACTACTCCCACCTCAGAGAACGTGCTACCGGGAGGATGTATTCGGTGCTCTTCAAATGCGGAGCTTAATGCATTGGGCGAACTGGCCGACGCGTAAACGACCGTCTACGTGAGCTTCAAAATGAATCAGCATCAAAAGCCGATCATCCCTCGCATCCTAATGCTGCTCATGCGAAAACGTGTTTGGGTGAGCTCCGAACTTGGGCAGCACCAATGCCCTGGAAACGCATCATCAGCGATTCGGACTTGAAATCATCGAATCATTCTTCATCGAAAAAGCAAAAGTCTCATTTGTCTTGTTAGCCGTAACAAGACGTGAAATCGAATTTA